AAAATGTGCTGTTTATTGCTTACATGTAAGTGACTCGGGTATCAATTGCATGTTTTAGAAGTGATTTAAATTAACCCTGCGAAAGACATGAAAATGACTTCATTACTTTTTATTTTGCATCCAGTAAATGACATTAACGTTCACTTGTAATGACGTAAAGACAGACAAATACAACAACAAAGTTATAAAGTGTTTTTTTCAAACTTAGCGAAGGATTTTAATTTAATGATTCCACTTTTTCGTGGATTTGAGAATTAAATAATATGTCTGCATTTCATTATCATTTTAAATTTTCTAACATAGCTTTTTTTTTTCAGACTGAAATAAATGATACCTTGTGGATAAATTGCTTTTTTTAAACATGCTACTTGTACTTTGACTTACCTCCCAATGACATTGTACACTGTATTCTGTAAATACAAGTAAACCATATTCACATATTTACTTAAGATTGACAGCATTGTAAAACTGAGCAGTTTGACCTATACGTCTAGAAGCGGTTTCTAACCTGAAGGTCTTTGTCTTTATTTTCAGAGCTGAGAAGAAAAACGTGGAAAATTCTCAGTTGACAATCAAAATTCAATATTACACTATACAGTTTTGAAAAATGTTGYTCTTTTTTGAAGTCAGAAAATTCCCTGAATGAAATACTAATCTATTGAACTTTTCCCCTGTTTTCGCAGACCATATTGAGTCCATATGGCTCTTGAACTACTTTCGCTACATTGCTCATATAGTAAGAGTATGTTTCTATCAAATTCAGAAATGGTTGTTCTGCAAAACTTGTAAAATTCTCGTTGTGCACTTCACTTCGTTCGCCTTCATCGGCTAATTGTCTTTTCTTATCTCTTGAAATAGTATCAACAAGGACCAACCAGTTGACGCGCTATTTGTGCGCACGTTGTGATTGCTTGTCTAAAAATAGTTTTTTGGGACGAGATTAATAGCGAGATAGACACTTTTTGTTATGAATTTCTGAGGCTACATGAAAAAAAGATTCTAAAGAAATACTTACATCTTTTTGTAAGTCTCAAACTCACTGTTAAGCTTTCTAAGACTCTGGAAGAAAAATAACACTTGTTTTCTAGCAGAAAAGAGAAATAATGGTTTCGGTGGTCACCACATAAAATTTGTGTGATACTTGAAAAGAGTCCGTTTATTTCATACTCACTGAGTTCTTTTCTTTGTTAAGTTCTTCAATTTGAGACTGTGAAGGATAAATATTATTTTTACCACAATTGTAAATTTCTGTTTCGTGATATTGTCTTAAGCCTACTCACCAATAGTCTCTGTTGTCCAATTTGAGCACTAAAACGGAAAATATGTATGAGAATAGACGAGTTTAGATATTTTGGTTCAGTGACCATGCACAAAAGAATTGCAGACGAGGCTCCGGGGAAATAAAGAATAAATAAAGATTATCCATTGATAATTTTATTTTTTTTAATATTTCAAAGAGTTATTTTGAAGTGCACGCTTCAAAATGACCAATCAAAGAGCGTATAATATCGTTTTATTCTTTATTTCCCACACACAAACAAGACCCTTTGATGCACTGTGTGTCTGAAACACACCAAKTTGCAGGTTAAATATGACTGTCAAACCTAAGATTCCTTGATATGTGATGTAATATCTCATATATYTATTATGTATGAATAACATAAATACAGTAACATAAATAATAATTATCATATTGTTTATTGCAAGAATTAGGATACAGTTAACCCTTAAAACAATATCTAATTGTTGGAGTATAATACTCGAGTCATAAAACAAGAAAACAATCAATACGCGATACTTACTTCTCGACAAAGTTCGAGTACTGTTTACTAATAGACTGAAGAATAAACCATACAAAAAAATCAGTACAAAATGCCATTGCACATTTAAACAACTTCAAGTTTTGAATTCTGCTTTCTTGTGAGTGGTTAAGAACAGGCAAGTAGGTTTAATACTATCGCCATCTGACCAAAGAAAAATAGTGTATGGTGATAAGCCGTTAATACTAGTCGCTAAAACCTGACAAAGCCAAGCTGATCATATCATTATTTTATAACCAGATGTACACTGGAAAAAATCGCGCGCTTTAAAGTTTGTAAATTTGATGTTAATATGATGTAAGTGTCCAAAATTCTGCAAATTTAATGTAAATCATTTACATCAAATTTACAGAATTTTTGGACACTTACATCATATTTACATCAAATTTACAACCTTTAAAGCGCGCGACTTTTTCCAGTGGTAACGGCCGTGTACGCGCTTATAGGGGACCGTCACTAGCTTAGATATAGTTATATATCGATCCGCATGTGTAAAAGCTCTATAGATCGATTCCAAAAATGGAGGACATATTACAACAACAACAACAACAACAACAACAAATAATTAAATAGTTACTTATCCATATAAAAATATTGTGTATTGATCCCCAAGGACGAGGCTAGTCAGTATAGATCAAAACTCCAATTTAATTCGAATTTAAAGCGAAAAACCGCTGTTTATTTGACTGCGGATAGGCAAAGACCTTACCAAACACAAAAGGAAATGTTGTAAGTGCGAAAGCGCTAACAACAGTGGCGGATGTAGCATTTTTGTGGCTAATGCCTAAGAGGCGCTAGCCATAATGTCATSGCCYTKAGTGAGTGTAATTCGGGAATAGCTCGTATTCCATTCGGTTTTTCTCGGGATAAGCTCGTATTTCCACTCGGTTCTCCACTCGTTAGTGAGTTGGAACAAAATGGCGGACAGACGGCGGCAAACAGTTTTCTCTTTTTAAATGGCTCTAAAATGTAGCTAAAACGCTCAAAAGAGCTGAAAATTATATGCACAATTTACAGAAAGTGTTTTTTTAAGGATTTGCGAAACTGTTAAGAAAAAAATATATATATTGAGACACAATGACAACGCCACAATGACAAGGCTTCATTAATGACAAAACCAAACAATTTTCGCTACAAATACTGCATTTAATTAAAAAAAATCCTGCTATAACTATAAGGCACTAGCCACATGCAGTCTTTGACTGCGTATTTTTCAAAACGGGATCCAGATTTTCTGCGTCTCTGATTTTAATATATGAGTGCTGTTCGTTTGAATGCAGATCACAAAACTTGTCTTATTTAAGTTTAAAAAAAGGATGCAGCTGACCCCGTTTTCTAACCCTGGATACGCCACTGAACAACTTTCCCCTGGTCAAGTCTAGTCTAATCCTGTATTCATGGGAATCACAGGGTTTGTCTCGATTCGGGGAAAATGAAAATTTTCAAGGCTAATGTACTAACAACATTTTCTCGTGCTCTTTTTTGTGTTGGTAAGTTCTTTGCGTAAAAATATAATCTGTCGCCACATAAAGCAGCGGTTTTTTGCTTTGAATTAGAAAATAGAGTATTCTTACGTATTTTGTCCGCCATTTTTCGAAACGGTCTATCACGTGAGCATAAATTTCTACATGTCACTTTTTTAAATATGGAGACACTTAAAATAACTTAAATCATTAATCATTGTGTAATGATTGCGTTTAGCAATGATAGTTAATTGAACACGTACAATGTACAGTGTCAATCGTAACCGATGCGAGCACCGGTCTTAGCGAGGGTGATCCGGTTTCAAGGTCAGTTTGTCGTTCCCTTGCCACGTTTTTTGCTTGGCAGGACAATTTTGTCCCTCCTCAACCTCCCTAATGCCCTTGCATTTTTATTGACTTTGCAGTTTTTCGTGTACTGTAATTTTTCTTGTCAATAAAACTGTTGTTCCCAAACACTGTAGTCGTTCTCTTATTTTAGAGTAGTGGTTAATTTACTTAGGTACCTCTATTTCTTTTTCTTTTATATTGAGCATATTCTACAGACAGAAAGACAATTTCACTAATGTTATTACAAGTACAAACAACTTGATCTGTATATCAAAATACACTTACTGTGAGMTGAATCTCGCGGT